GCATTAGACAGTCCCAAACAAAACTGTGGTTTTAAAACAAAAGTGCAGAAAAAAAATAATAAAAAATTATTTAAAAAAAAAACGGACCATCCAGCAGCATGACACTAAAGACTAGAGAAAAGTATGATGAACGGGAAGCTAATGGTAGCTAATGTTAGCTTGTTGTTGTGTGATTTAAACTCTTTAGATTACAGGTAAAAGAAGTGAACCAATCAGTGAGCAGCAGTTACATCAGCTGGCCTGATTAGAACYACAGCTCACAAGCTTACAGAAATCAGGCTGGACCTGGACCAGAAGAGTTAGTGCAAAAACACCTGTAAGGACACAGACAGGTCTCTGTCTACCACAGAGACACAGACCTGTGGACAAAGAGAACTTGTAAACTCCACCCAGAATAGGGGTGACACTAACCGCTGCTCCACCGTGCTGCCCTGCAACATGTTTTATAATCCTTGTTGTCTTTAGTCATGAACACATCAGAACTTCAGCTCAGATTGTTAAAGTGTGGTCCAAAGTTTTTTCTGTAGATTAAGAAAATTCAGAGTTGATCCTTTAAAATGTTTTCGGAAACATTCTGGTTGTTAACTTTAAAACGTGTCACTTGAACAAACTGTATAAACTTCTAGTTCAGACTCAGTAACAGAATCTCACCACCAGATGGTCTCGTTCACTTATTTAACGCTGCTGCTTGTTTTAGAGGATTACATTCACTCTTCAGTTTTATCCTAACATGTAAATGACAGCACAGAGACTTCATGATTCACAGGATCATGAATAAAATAAAACTCGTAGTTTTGATTTTTGTCGAAAACATATTTTATTCTTTTTCTTTGCAGTAAAAAACTTTACATTCTTCGATTTTTTTCGACAAAACTATTTTTGACTTAAACAAGATTTACAAAAAAAAAAAGATACATGAAAATTATTAAAGACGAATGCTGAGAAACTAAACAACAACAAAGACTTCTTCATAAAAATGAGGCTTATGGAGCCAGTGAGGTGGATTTTTACAGGTCAGTAGTAGGTTATTTAAATGATCAGCAGTTGAGCTTGACTAAATGACACAACATGAAGAGGTTTTATAATAAATAATGAGTAAAACTGTTTGTAGTTGAACAGCTTTCAGGTTTTTTATTTACTTGATTTATTTTAACTCTTGTTTTAGGAGGAAAAAGATGGATGGATTTATGTAGTTTCTCAGATGATGATTTTTTATGAAAAACAAGATTTACCTTCATTTAATATAAAACTATTATTATTTTAGGAGGATAAACATATTCTTTACACAAAATCTATTTTTGTTTTAAATTATATTAAACTGACTAAATAAAACAGAATTTTTTTTTTTGTATTTAATACAGTTTCAAGCTCTTCTCTACTTTAACAGAAAACCTTTCAAATAAAATAAGCTGGCCATAAAACGATTCATGATGTAAGACATGAAGTTTATTTGTATAAAGATGATATTTGATGAATTTGATTCTGTGACTAAAGTTGTTTTGATTCTTGTTTTTAAGCAGCTCAAGTTTATATTTCACTAAATGTTTCAACTCTGCAGAGCTGAGGATATTAAAGGTGAAATATTAACTTTAGAGACAATTTTTCTCATAATCTCATTAATAGAAAAAGAAACAATTGTTCAGATCCTTCATCAGTATCTTACCTGTTGCAGATGTCAGTTTGAGCAAACTCGGTCTGAAGAAATAGTTTATTTCTGACTGGAGCGATGAGCTAAAGGCTAGTCTGAGAGCGGACAGAGAATTCATGTCGATTCTAAACTTAAACACCAAAAACTTGTAACGGCTTCACGTGAACAGCAGTTTATAAACATTTAGCCGTTCATCATTTATCACATTTCTTGTTAAACACCTGTTGAAGATAAACGAAGCTGTAAATGTGTTAAAAACAGAATTAATCACTACAAAGTTATGAAATGAGAGCTTAAAGACGACATGAATCCTCTTTATTAGTCCAGGTGTTGCTCAGACTAGACGTTAGCTCATCGATTTAGTCCAAATTAAACAGTTTCTTCAAACTGAGGTCATCGAAATAGCTACCTTCAACAGGTAAGATATTATTTAATAAGTCCATTTAAAGCACCTCAATGGAAGTTCAAACCAAAACTTTGACTGTGTTTATAAAATTATATTTTTGAACAGCTTGTTTTTGGCAACTTTAACTTTGACCGTTTGTCAAAAACGATGTTTTTAAAGCTTTTGAACAGTTTGGCAACAAAGATGAGGGGAAAYAAAAGGAACAGGAAGTTTTAAAATAAAACATTTTCTCTCGTTTCCACCGTACAAATTTATATTAAAACTGTAAAGAAAATGATGCGTCGACTTTTAAGTGCTGTGAGTTCAAATATCTTAAATACCTGAAAAGTCACATAAAGAAAGACATGAGTTTCATGTGTTTGGCTTTTCTGTTGTCAATTAATGTCAGCGGCCATTTTGAATACTGACTCCAGCTGTTTGCTCAACGGCTACTTCAGGGGTTTTATTAGAATTCTTCCAGTGGCTCATGAGGTATTTTGCTAACACAGAGAAAAAGAACTCTTCAGCAATATTTAAGTTTTTTAGTTTGGCTGAACCAGCTGATCGGATTCTTTCTTTGACAAAGATGTGTTAAATATAAACAAAAAGTGTTCTTCTGTTTTGGGTTAAAGCTTCACTTAGACCAGTTAGACCAGCAGTGTCTGGTCCTGGAGGACTGCCATCCTTCAAGTACTTGTTTCTTTGAGAATCCTCTGAAACCTGCAGGAGGACCAGGACTAGGACTAGGACTAGGACCAGGAGGCATCTGTTTTAGAGGAACAATAAATAAAAATGAAACGGTCATTTGTGACAGTGTGAAGTGTTTTCTCTGCTAGCCCAACATCTCTCAGMTAATTTGTTGAAGAATGAAACCTCGACGAGTCCCCATCAGGTTCCAGAGGAGAATAAATATTTGATCCTCCRTGTTGATAGTCACCTCGTGTTCGGCGGCTCGTAGCGGCGGTCCTCACACGTTGCTGACGTCCTCCATCCCACCGAAGCGGTCGTTGGCCGGCAGAGTGAAGCGAACCTGCCGGCTCGTCTCCCAGCCGCGGCGGATCCTCCTGAGGYGCCCGGCCACGCAGGGCAGGAAGAGGGCCAGGCGGCCCAGCAGGACCGACATGGGAAGGATCAGAACCAGGATGAAGGTGGGGGGCAGGTAGAAGCGGTACTGGGATGGATCGAAGGCACGGTTCCAGCCGTAGAGGAGGGTGTGGGTGGTGGCCATTATCAGGGCGCAGTAACCGAGCGAAGACTGCAAAACAGGCATAATGAAATAAACGTTAGCTCACCAGAGACCTTCCCTCTGAATATATGTGACTTACAAGACACACGAGGGGAAAACCACTGACCCAGAACTCAGGACCTGAAGAAACCCTGCTGGTGTTTCCTCTCAGAGTGCCACTAATCCTCCTTCAGGGGCCACAAATCAACAAAAACTTCCCAAGGTTGTCTCGGGAGGAGGGCCAGAGGTGGAAACCAGACTCACTCAGAGTGAAACATCATGACGTCTCATCAAAGCACCTTCAGGTTCTGAACAGTACTGGTCAGAACTGAAGCTCATGATGATTCGCTTCGTCTTTATCTGCCTCCAACTCAAATTTTCAACCTTTACAGCAGCGCTTTACTAACCGGGGTGTTCTTTTCAACATTACCACCAGCCACAGCTTAACCTCATTCATTCTGCCTCCATACTTTTATTTTGAAAGATTTTCCACGTAGAAACTAGGGTCACATGTGAGCTACACATTTCCATGTTGATCCACTGGGCAAGTCAAAACGCAGGAGCACAAACATCGCTGCCATTCGAAACCTTTATTCCATCTGATAAATGATGAAATGAAGTAAGTGCTGACTGTGTCGACACAAAAATGTAAAATAAATCTGAATCAAAATTAATCACAATGAGGAGATTATCAATTATTAGTTAATACTATGTTCAAATTTTCCATCTTCATCCAGGTACTTTTCCCAGTGAGAAGCCCCGCCCCTTTTTGGGTGAAAACAGACCCTCCAGTTCGACACGCAGCAAAATATCTCAAAGTCTGTTAAAAAAACATGAGATAAAACTCCTGTAAACTGTTTTCAAGTTTAGTTCTGGCAAAATAAGTCACAACAAGGCAACATCCAATATTGAGTTATTATTTTCATATTTTCCATCTCCAACTGGCTACTTATGTTTGTGTGAAGCTTCGACCCTTTTTTGGGGAAAAAAAAACAGCTTTTTCACTTTGACAAGCAACAAATCCATGTTTTTTATAAAGAAAACATGAGACAAAAATCACACAAATGTTATCAAGTTTAGTTACTATCATCAAATGAGTCACAATGTGGAAATGTCCAATATTATTATTATTGTGGGAAAAAAGTGCGTTGTTCAAAATACGTCTGAATAATACAGGAATCCACTGGATTTCTTCTTAAAAACTTTATTCTCAATCTTCTGACTCCAGTCAGGTTCACAATACAGCACTCAGTCCTGCTCTAAACAGAGACTCTGCAGCACACTGACAACCTCTCTCTACTATAATCATGAATTGACCTTATAATGTATCTTTCTTCCTGSTTACACACTTGGAGGTATTACCTTTTACGTCAGACGTAGAACAGAACTCATTTTTGTTTAGGCTAAAAGAACGAACACAAGATAAGACACACACCAACTCTTTGTCTGCTTTAACCTTACTTGCAATGATCAGAAAGTATAAAATACAACACTGCATCTAACATTCAATTAATCAGTTACAAAATTTCCTTCAATATTATAGTTATTTTCAAATTTTCCATCTCCATTTGGATACTTAGGTTTGTGCAAAGCTCTGCCTCTCACTTGGCAAATAGAAATCTTGATGTTTTCAAAGCAAACCTAAATAAAAATGTCTAAAATGTTTTTAAGTTCTGTTCTGGCAAATTGGCTCACAACAAATTAGATTTGTCACCTGGCAAAAAAATGAGTTTTGTTTAGTGCTGGTTTAAAAACTCAGTTCCAGTCCTATATTTTAAAAAAAGGAATATACCCAAACTTCACATGGATGCCAAACATTACATTATATATTTTACAACCAAGAAAAACAGCCAAATTTTTAAAAAGTTTTAAAGAATACAAGACGTTTTATTTATGAAGGCTTATCAGTTTGGGTTAATAACTCCCTCATATTTAATTTCTCTGCATTCACCAGCTGCCGAAGGACTCTCGGCTATTATTGCATCAAATTTTCATTACATCATACTTTTATTAAATCTGAACAGTGTGCAATAAAAGTAAAATCATTGCATCAAATCAGCCTCTAGACAAGAAACAAATCCCACCAGTTTTAGCTCAACGTGTAAAATTATCTGAGCTGTGGTCATTTTTGTGTTAGCTAAAGGTAGCTGTGTAGAAGTGAACAGATTCCAAAGAAGGAATTTAGCTGCTCATGGGTCCATAGGTTAAGAAGTAAATGTTTTTACAAATAAATAAATAAATAAATAAATAAATAAAAACTACAGCAACACATTCACTGAGGCACACAATAGGCATTAACACACCATCCTGCAGCTCTGGCCACCAAGCAGAAACTTGCTTCTCCTCTCCCTGCTGTCGGCACATGACTAATCTGACGGCCAATGGATTACGGAGAGATGAAAGTGGAAAAAAAAGAAAGAAAGAAAGAAAAGCAGACTGTAAGTCCTGGAAGACCCGAGGCCATGATGGAGGGAGGGAGGAGAGGGTGAGTAAAAGAGGAGGAAGCTAGTGTGCTCTGAATCACAGCACAAGTTCAGCCGTGAATCTGGGCCAGCTGCAGGAGGGGAAACATGTGGACGTGTAAGAGACATAACATGTCTCTGAGAGGACATCAGCAGGACACCTGTCCACCACGTTTATCCTCGTCATTCTGTTGGGTAAGCAGAACCACACAGTGAGCGTTTACCTGTATGAAGCTGAACTCCCTCCAGTTGATGGTGCTGGCCACTGAAGGCAGCGAGGTAACGGCCAGCAGGGACAGCAGCCCGAGGGCCATGATGCCCACGGACAGATACAGCTCCATCCTCCACACGTCCTCGTCCACCCACGTGTACTCCTCGCCATTTTTCACCTGCAAACACAAACATTAAATGTGAAACCGGGTGATGAACGATTCTTTGGAAAACTGCCAGGACTTACAATCATGGGGGAAAAACATGCATATAAAAAAAACAGATTTTACTGGAGTCAACAATCACTTAAATCTTACCTAGAGCATACAGAAACACAACCAACTCCACTGTCCTAATATTCATTAGACACAAATGAGAAAAGCTGCGCAAAAAAAACAAAGTCCAGTAGCTTGTAGAGCCTCCTTTATCAGCATAAGCCTCAGTAGACGTTTTCTAAATGACTATCAGTCTCTAACATTGTTGTGAGGGAACTGTGGCAAAATCTGTATTAAAATGTTGCTTTGATTTATTGAGGTTTGCAGACATTGGATTCTGTCAAGTTTTGTCCAAATGTTAGATACATTTTGATCCAAACGTAGGGCACAGTTTGATCCAAACATAGGACACAGTTTGATACAAACATGGGACACAGTTTGATACAAACATGGGACACAGTTTGATACAAACATGGGACACAGTTTGATACAAACATGGGAAACAGTTTGATACAAACATGGGACAGTTTGATACAAACACGGGACACAGTTTGATACAAACACGGGACACAGTTTGATACAAACACGGGACACAGTTTGATACAAA